GAAGAGGGATTGTTCCACGTAACCTACAAAGAGGCAGGCGTAGCTTGGGCCCATGCGGGTACCCATGGCTACCCCCTTTGTCTGTAGGAAGTGGGAGGAATTGAAAGAGAAGTTGTTGAGTGTGAGGACGAGTTCGGCTAAGCGGATGAGGGTGTCAGTGGAGGGGGACTGGTCGGGCCTGCGGGACAAGAAGAAGCGGAGGGCCTTAAGGCCATCTGCATGGGGAATGCAGGTGTAGAGGGACTGGACGTCCATGGTAAAGATGAGGTGTTGGGGACCGGGGAATTGGAAGTTCTGGAGGAGGTGGAGGGCGTGGGTGGTGTCACGGACATAGGTAGGGAGTTCCTGGACCAAGGGGGAGAAAATGGAGTCGAGATAGTTGGAGATCAGTTCGGTGGGGCAGGAGCAGGCGGAGACAATGGGTCGACCAGGGCATTCAGGTTTGTGGATTTTGGGAAGGAGATAGAAGCGGGCAGTGCGAGGTTGGGGAACGATGAGGTTGGAGGCCGTGGGTGGGAGGTCACCTGAGGTGATGAGGTTGTGGATGGTTTGCGAGATGATGGTTTGGTGCTCAGGGGTGGGGTCATGATCAAGGGGGCGGTAGGAGGAGGTGTCGGAGAGTTGGCGTCCGGCCTCGGCGATGTAGAGGTCAGTGCGCCATACTACAACTGCACCTCCCTTGTCTGCGGGTTTTATGGTGAGGTTGGGATTGGAGCGGAGGGAGCGGAGGGCTGCACGTTCTGCGGGGGAGAGGTTGGAGTGGGTGAGAGGGGTGGAGAGGTTGAGGCGATTGATGTCTCGACGGCAGTTGGAGATGAAGAGGTCGAGGGAGGGTAGGAGGCCTTGGGGTGGTGTCCAGGAGGAGGGGGTGTGTTGGAAGCGGGAGAAGGGGTCAGTAGAGGGAGGGTTAGGTTCACGGTTAAAGAAGTAAGCTGTAGCCCAGGCCAGGTAAGGATAACAATTTCTTTCCCTAAAGGATATGAGTGAGCCAAATGGGTTTTTCTGTCAATTGATTCATGGTCATCATTAAATTCTTCATTCCAGATTTTATTTTTTAAATTCACATTCTGCTGTGGCAGGATTTGAACACAGGCCCCCAACACATGACTTTGGTCTCTAGATTAACAGCCCAGCAGCAATACCACTAGACTGTTACCTCCCATGATACCAGTAGCCTTGTAAATTCCAAACATCAAGGGTTCACAATAAGGAACTCTGTTCAGGTGAGTAATTCCCTCTCTGTAATGGCCTGTTTCAAACTAAAACATATTAAAAAACCCTTCCATTTTATATAGTGCTTTTAACCAAACTTCCCTGGGTACCTCTTAAGATAATCACGAGGGAATAGGCACTGAGCCAAAGAAGGAGGCATTATCACATAACCAAAAGGAGACAGCAAGGTGGAGAGGGTTAAGAAGGAAGTAGAGACCTGAGAGCTGAGCTACCTGAACGAACAGTATTTCATGTGAGTTCAGAGAGGATTTCTGGACCCTTGAGCAATCTTGCTGCAACATCACAGAGCTGCTTCTCATTGGACATAAATAGTGCAGTATGAGAGGGGTTACAAAGTTGGTCAGTTGGTTGAAGTCTATCTATCGGAAGCATAGAGGAAAACGTATTCAGAGAAACATATGGAATAGAATGACTAGAACCAGACAGTAGAACTTATGCAATGAACTTTTCTGCAACGTAACAGTAACATTCGAGTCAGGTATATCTCTGATTACCATGTATTGTAATATTTTGTCTTTATATGTAGTAAATGTGTCATAAAGAGGCTCAAGCATAAAGACTATTTATGACCTTGACTTCTCCTTGGCCAGTCTATCTTGAACCAAAATTCATAGTTGTGTGTACAAAACAATACAAAAACAGACCCCCTCATAGGAAAGAGAGAATTGGAATAGATGGGCTGTTTTCAGCATGGCAAACAAAAACTGGTGGCATGCCACAGAGATTAGCACTTGGGTCTTAACTATTTATAATCCATATTCACTCACACTGAAGGGTCAAATTTGCAAACAGTGCAAATATAGATAGTGAAGCAAGTTGAGAGTACAGCATTAGGCGGCTGCAAAGTGATGCAGATAGATCAAGTGAGTGGGCAGAAATAGCCTCTCTGCCAGCGATTTCAGGGTAGAGGAAGATTGTGATAGCCATATTGTCCTCTCCTAGTTAGACACCTGTGCCAACAAACAAACTGTAGATGGGCTTTCTTGAAAATATCCTGAAATCCACAATACAGACAAAAGGCTGTTCAGTCCAATGAGTTCATGCCTGTGTTGTTCTTTATGTGTTCTTCCAATTGTCAAAGATGGAGGCTGTCAATCTTATAGACATTAATATACGTACACATGCAAGTTGTTTTATATATATATATTGCACAGTTATAACATATGTCAGGATACAGAAGTCTGCACACACTCATTGATTAATTTTATTCATACATACAACTTTTTTAAAAAATTATTCTTTCACAGGAAGCAAATGGTGCTGGTGAGATCAGCATTTGTTGCCCACCTCTAACCACTATTGAGAAAAGACCATACCTGGTGGTGGTTGGATAGCTATTACAGTCCAGTTACTTTCTTTTTTAATTATATTGCGCATAGTCAGGACCATATTTTTAACTCGTATGTAAACCCCCCGGTGTAATTCAAATGTTTTTGTATATTCTGGCTCCAGAAGCCTGGAATCCTGTGATAGAAGTTCAAAAAAATAATTACTGTCATTTGTGATCATCCTCATTTTTATCATGTCTTTTGTGCATTTTAAACTTTGCTAAATAGTGGCGCAAACATGTGGGTTAATATTTGCTCTTGAACCACAAGATTCTGGAATTAAGTCCCTCTTAAAAGTCAATGCTGATACTGCAGTGCACTACCAAATGAATTCAGTTCCTCCTTATCTGGTTTGACCAGAACCCTCATGATTTTGAATCCCTCTATCAAAATACCTTATCCTCCCCATGGAAAATGGTCCCAACTTCTCCAATCAATTTTCATATTTGAAGTTTCTCATTCCTGAGTCTTTCTTGGGCTTTCTCAAAATCTTTCCTGAAATGTACTGCCCAGGACTGGAAACAACACTCCAGCTGAATTTCTCCAGCAATTTCTGTTGTTTGAGATTTCAGCATCAGTAGTTCTTTGGTTTTTGTTTGAGGAATATTAGTGTTTCATTCAACATAACTTCCTTGCTCTCATACTCTATGCACTGTTAATTAAGTCTAAGATCCTGCGTACATTATTAACTGCTCCCTCAACCTGTCCTGCCAGTTTTATGGTTTATGCACAACTGTACAAAGGTCCTTTCCCAGGGCCTTCTTCTCCTGCACTGCCTTTTGAATTGCATCCTTTATTTTGCATTATCTCTCCATGCTCTACCTTCCAAATGAATCAAACTCCAAAGGAATTACTTCACAGTTTTCCACATTGAATTTAATCCATGGCTTCTCCACCCATTTCACCACTTCCAAAGTGTGTACTGATATCTCTGATGGGGTTGATTAGAAACCATTTAAATGTCGCAATCAATTAACTTACTCTTTCTTCCCTTCTCTATCTCTACAACCAGAACAATTGACCTCAAGAACCGGTGCATGAAGGAATTCAAGCTGTTGTGTTTATTTCCTTAGGGATGATGTGGGTAGGGGTTTAAGGTAAAGTCAGAGGCAGTATGACACAAGGAAGGCCAATCATCATTCAAATCTATCTATCACTGTCTAATGATGGTGGTTGTTGGGGGTTGGGGAGGAGTTGCAGAAACATAAAGAAGTAAATCTAACAGCGCGGAGGCCAGGGTTATTACACCAGTGCGTGCCTCTTGTGATCAGGATTTTGAGTGCTAGCAGTATGATAGCACATAACCCACATTGGGACTGAGGTTAAAATTGTGTAATCTATATCTTTGCCATTTTAATGAAGCCCTTTTCCTCTTAAACAGACAACCTTCCAGTGCCTAATTTCCAGACCTTGAAAATGGTGATGGACCATTCAATCCCATTCCCTGTCTCATCATGTTCAAGGTTTTGGGCAAAAGACATGGGGAAGATGTGAGGAAGAACATTTTTAAGCAGTCATAATGGCCATAACCTGGAATCTCTACCTGAAAGTCTTCAAGTGGAGAGGATGAATGACTCACGAATGTGGACGCTTGAGGAAAGTAAAGGGATAGAGTGAGAGAGTGCTACTGATTGAATTTTTCTGCAGAATGCTAGCACAGAATTGATGGATTAAAAGGCCTTCCTTGCATCATAATGCCTCTGACTTTAACTTAAACTCTTACCTACATCATTCCCAAGAAAATAAACCCAATAGCTAAGATTCCTTCATATATCAAGTTCTTATGTTGAATTGTGGCTGCAGAGATAGAAATTCATCATTTTTAATTGATTGTAACATTTAGAAAGTCTCTAGTCAACCTGATCAGAAACACTAGGTCACATCTCAGAAGCAAGTAGGGACTTGAACCTGGGTTATCTAGCTCTGAGCTTGGGTCACTACCAGTATGCCACAGTGGGGAAATCAGGATTGGTATAATCTCGTCAAATTCTTCACTAAACAAAAACTCTTCAATTACAATTACTTCAGATTAGATTTTAAAGATAAAGAGGAAAGAACAAAATCTTACTTCTTGCCAAGTTTGAGAATCGAAGTACTTGTACTCAAATGGATATCTAACACATATATTAGCTTTTCTGATTTCACTGAGGCTATCATTCCAAGAAATTGTCAATTCCCCGAGCTGCCTATCCACAATCATGAGGTTGGTCGGTGGATTAAGATCGGCTGTTTAATGACAAATGAAAACAATTAAATAAGTGGAAGAGAAAATTGTAAATATGTTCAGTTTAGTTCACATTCTAGTTGCAGTTCAACATTAACAGCCACTGACAGAAAACATATGCCCTCCTGGAGACAACACAATTCTTCGTCACCACACAAGGCGGGAATGTCCACTTCAGTTCCCGTTCAAATCTTTCCTGCATAGAAACTTGGAAAATAGGAGCAGGAGTAGGCCATTCAGCCCTTCGAGTCTGGTCTGTCATTCATTACGATCATGGCTGATCATTCTACTCAGCAGCCTGTTCCCGCTTTTCCCACATATCCTTTGATCTCTTTAGCCCTGAGTGCTACATCCAACTCCTGCTTGGAATTATACATATCTTAGTCTCCACTGTTTTCTGTGGTAACAAGTTCTACAGGCCCTTTGGTTGAAGAAATTTCTCCTCAACTTAGGTTCTTTACTGGGATTCTGAAAACAGTCAAAATGTCTCTCCCTCACTGAGAAGGATCTACTCATTGTTTGATCCACAAGTCTTCACTTAGTCAATAAAAACAAGTTAACTAAATTCCCAATTTTCTCACAATTCCTAACTGTGCTGCAAATTTCATCAGTTTGCCCAGAAATTGGTTCTGTCATTGAAGATTTATTATGTCCTTCCACATTCTGCAAGAACATACTCCAGAGGAGAAATTATTTCTTATTTTAGCCCTTTTGGTTTCGGAATCAATCTTGTGTCTATTTTCTGGACTCATTGCAATACTCCCTATTCTTTCCCTGTAAAAAAGAAACCAGAACAGCTCAGTTCCTATGCTACCTTGCTGGAGAGATGATAGCCTAGTGATATTATTGTTAGACTATTAATCCAGAGACCCAGCTGATGCTCTGGGGACTGGAGTTCAAATCCTACCACGGTAGATGGGGGAATTTAAATTTAATAAAAATCTGTGATAAAGAGTCGCAGGATGATCATGAAACCATTGTTAATTGCCAGGAAATGCTCATTTGGTTCACTCATGTCTTTCAGGGAAGGAAGCTGCCATCCTTACCTGGTCTAGCCTACCTGTGACCCCAGACCCACTGCAATGTGATTGACTTTTAACTGCCCGCTGGTCAATAAATGCTGGCCAAGCCAGCAAATCCCACATCCCATGAAGGAATAAAAAATAATAATACCAAAGTTAGGTACAATTTCAAAATTGCTACATATAACTTGGGTGTCACATCCCTGGACACAAAATATAAATCTTTCCTGACTATTTATAAACACCAAACAAACAGTTTTAGTAACCAGTCCAACTGAAGCATTTATATCTTGTTCCTGTTTTGTTACATCAAGCACCACAGAATTTCTATTTTGCACTAATACTAAACTGTCAAATCTCATCATTTTGCACTTGGTAGTATTAAGATTCACCTACCATTTGTTTAGCTAGTGGCCTTGGTTGTTCAGGTCCCCATAGATGACAGGCATAGGTGACAGGTACAACACACAATATTGCCTTACTTGCAAATTTAAGCGTAAAGGTTGTTAATCTGCCCTCTGAGCCTTTACAAAAATGATAGATGGCAGGGGCTTAACAATTAATCTGTGTGAGTCTCCATTCTGACAGCACCCTGATCATCATCAATGCTTGTTCCTCACCCTTCAGTCATGCATCAAGCCAAGTGTATATCTTGCCATATATCCATTTCGTACCAGTCACATGGGATAATGTTAGACGTTTATCACAATCCTGGTAGATCATGTTAATTACCTCATCCTTTATCATTGATCTTATGATCATCATCAAGCTCCTGGTTGTTACTCAAGTGTAAAAAGAACTCTTGTTGTGGTGCACATGATAGTTTTTCTGCCTCTAATTCAGGGGGTGTATAAGTTTAACCACTGCCTGAAAACAGTAACCGCTCATATATAATGTAGCCCTTAGGAACTGAAGACTCTTTCTAACCACATATTGTTTTATATAATTAATTGTTAATGGTATCATCCTTCAGAGTCTCAATTGCCTTACCCCCGCACCCCGCCCCCCGCCCCCCTCAAACCATTGCATTGGATCACACATTTGTAATTTGAGAAATCATTCCTCGTCTCTTTTTATAAAGATTGTGTTACACATTTTCTACTTTCTAATTCATATCATGTTGCTTTATTCCAATAAGCTCTGAAGAAAAGTAGGGACATTACGGTCAATGAAGTTAACTTTGAAAGGTCATTAAAGGGTGGTTCTTGACACGAGCAAACATGGTGAACTAATTTGGTTTTTGCTGTTTTTGGATGTGGCTGGGATGAGTCAGAATACAAAGACTAGTTCCTGTCTCTTCCAATTGTGCAAGGGGGTGTCTGACATTGACCTGAGGGTGTAGCATTCTCCAGTCATTGGGAGATCATGCATCCAAAAAATGTTGCACTCACTTGAAATTACACAGAAGTGCCAATCTGTTTTGCGCGCTTAAGGGTCTGTAGTGGGGAGTGATACTATCGTCTTCCAATAGATAATCAAGAGTGCAAGCATTGAGCAGAGATTGAGTGCATGAATGCAAATGAGGTGACTTGAAAATTCCCTCAGCCAACTATCCTATTTTCAGCGCACATCACAACATTGTTTATCTTAAAGTTTGTAAGCCTTTCTATTATTCCTTCCAGTGATGCTAGTTGATTTCACACTGCACTCTCTCATGTGTTCCTCTCTTAACTTAGACACCATTGTTCCCCTTTTCAGAGGCTAACAGTCAAAACATAATGACTTAGCAATTCCACCATTTCTGCTGGGTGTAGGTAGTGGGCACAGCACCCTCTCGATTTTATGTGTCTCCCTTGCCTTCCAGCCTCTTAGTTGTCGGGGTGGGGTGGGTTTGAGGGCAAAAATGCCATTCCATTCTGGAGGTGTTTATAGGTACTAACTTAGAAATAAAGGTGTTAGGGAATATGGAAGAAGGATTGAGAAGAAGGTGCTAATGTTGCTGAAAGGAAATAGGAAGAAAAACAAACTGCATAGCTGGTATTAGTTTAATACTTACTAAGGTTTCCTTGGACTTCCATGCATCTTTTACTTAACACCACTGGTAAAACAAAGGAGATTACAAGGCAACAGGCAAGTGGGACCATAGTGGAAACCTTCATCTGAAACACTGCCTACTCTGAAAGAAGGTCAGATGCTGATGATGAAACACCCTGAAAAAGAGCAACACAAAAAGAACATCGGATTATCAAATTAGAAAGAAAGTTGTAAACACAATTTTGAAACAATGGATACTTATTGCTTTTTACTCAACTTTAACTCAGGGCTGTCAGGGAGGCAAGTGTAGTAAACTGTCATGCAAATGATAACACCTCAGACAGTGTCAGCCTAGCTCGCGGTTCTAATTCAGAGATGAGAATGCCACAATATAACCACACTGACCGAGACACGAAGGAGAGGAAGAGGAAGTTTGGAACAGAACTGAAGTTGGAAACTACTGGGCTCGTTTTTCACAATGATCATACGACTGTCTTTGACAAGAGAAAGCCTGTTCCTATCACAGAATCACAAAATTGTTACAACCCAGAAGGAGCCCAAAATTCCTGCAATGGCTCTCCAAATAAGCAATACCCCAAGGGCCAATCCCCTGTCCTTTCCCATTACCTCTTTTCAAATAATTATGCTTTGATTGATTCTGCTTCCACGATGACCTTCCCAGAGCTTAACCATTTGTGCTTTGGAGCTGGAGATTGTCTTTATCTCAGAACGGGAACATCAGACTCCACTAGTTCCTATCCAAGTTTTTTATATTGATACACGGCAGTCATAAATAAGCCAGGTCAGTGCCAACTGTACCATATCAATGCCATTCATTGTGCATCAGGCAGAAACTAGTAGATATCATGATGAAAACCCTGATCCTGTGCAACAGAATCATTTTCTCTTCGAGCTAAAACAGATGGGTCTACATATTTTATATGTCATAGACCAGAGGGAGGGCTTCAATTTTAGCAAAGGAAAACCTATGATGCAAAGCTTTTAAAAGTGCAAATAAAAGCAGAATACTGTGGATGCTGGAAAACAGAAATAAAATCAGGAAATGCTGGAGAAAATCTGTATCATCTGTAGAGTGAGAAACAGAGTAAACATTTTGAGTCTGATTCAAAGGAAAAAACATATTCTCTCATGGGACATGGACGTCGCTGACTGGACCAGCATCCATTGCCCATTCCTCGTTACCTTGAGAAGGTGTTGGTGAGTTGTCTTCTTGAACAGCTGTAGTCCACGTACTGCAGGTTGACCCACAAAGCCATTCCTTAGAGGGGAAGGTGGTAGTTTGCAAGTGGTGCTTTTCCCATGTATCTGCTGCCATTGTCCTTCCAAATGGAAGTGGTCATGGGTTGGGTAGATGCTGTCTCAGGAGCCTTTGTGAATTTCAGCAGTATGCCTTGCAGATGGGTAATAAATGCTAGCCCACTCGCCAACGCCCACAAACTGAATGAGAAAAACACCCATGCTTCTGACCATCAGTGGTGGAAAGAACAGAAGCTTGTGAATCTGGTGCCAATCAAGTTAGCTGCTTTGTCCTGGATGGTGTCAAGCTTCTTGAGTGTTGTTGGAGCTGCACTCATCCAGGCAAGTGGGGAGTATTCCATTACACTCCTGACTCTCCTTTAGAAAAGGTCATACCAGACTCAAAATGTTAACTTTGTTTCTCTCCCCACAGATGCTGCCAGAACTGCTGAGTTTCTGTATAATTTTCTGTTTTTATTTCTCCAAGTGTCATTCTCTTTTAATAATGCACTAGCAATGGAATACGAATGGTGTATCTTGATAACATACATTAAGAGGTGTATAGGTTCTGTTCTTTGATAACATACCATCAATGATATGTGAGTGGTGCACCTTAACATTGTGGTATTCTTATTTGTGAAAGCTACACTATTTCCCGTTGGCCCCATCTATTAGTGAGGATTCCATCGATTAAAATCTGAGAATTCTAAGTTGTTGTCACATCCAGCATCTGACAATGACAGCGATCTGTTTATTCTGTGTGTGTGTACATGTGTGCAGTGGTGGGGGGAGATGCAGAATTAAATGAGGCCTGAACAACACCAAGAGAAGAAACCAAAGGAAGCTGTGAGAAACTTGGTCAGCTAACACAGTGAGGGTTGAAGGTCTGGGTGAGTTTGCAACCATAGATTGTTTATCACATCTTCTTCCAATATGATCTTGAAAAGAACCTGCATGAAAGCAAATGGTGGTGAGCAGGAAACTCACTGCATATGATCCATTCGAAGCAAGAGTAATTTTCATTGACAGAGAAGGAGGCACTGTCAGAATATTGACCGCTGATTCTTTTTAATAAAACTCATCTTATCCACTGAACAGCCTGATAGGTTTTAACCAGGTTGAACAAGGAGCCTGACAGTCTGGGTAAATGAATGACTTTCATTTTATAGAGAAGTTAGTTGTGAGACCTACCATAGTTCTCCTTGTAAGATAGGGTTGACCCGCATATAGTTAGGGAACTTTAATTTAGACATTTGTGGATTTTGTTCTTTTTTTCCAATTCATGGGATGTGGGCGTTGCTAGGCAGCATTTATTGCCCATCTCTAGTTATCCAGAGGGCAATTAAGAATCAACCTCATTGTTGTGGTTCTGGAGTCACCTGTAGACCAGGCCAATTGAGGTCAGCAGGGTATTAATGAACCAGGTGGGTCTTTACAACAATTGACTTCAGTTACATTCCATATTTTTATACCGCAATCTGCCGCGAATCCAACTCCTCATAATAAGAGCTGGCAATCTGGAGAATTAGTCCAGTACCATGACCACTGGTGCACTGCGCCCACCACCCACCAACCACCCCCCCAACCCAACCCACCACCAACCTCCTGAAAAGGCATTGATGCTCTGCCTTCTTGAATCACTGCAGTTTAGATACTGTAGGTACATCTACAATGCTGTCAGGGTGAGATTTCCAGGATTTTGACTCAGCGACATTGAAGGAATGACAATAAACTTCCAAGTAGGATGGTTAATGATTTGGAGGGGAACTTGCAGGTGCTGATGTTTCTATGTATCTGCTGTTCTTGTCCTTCTGGGTGGAAGCAATCGTGGGAAGGTGCTGTCTATTGAGTCTTCATATATTTCTTATGAAGCAACTAAAGATGGCTAAGCTTAGGACATGACCCTGAGGATTCCCTGCAGAGGTGTCCTGTACGGTCTGGTCCTAATTCTCAGACTATATCCCCTAGTTCTAGAATCCCCAACCAGTGGAAATAGTTTATCTTTATCTACCCTGTCTTTTCCTGTTAATATCTCGAAGATTTCAATTAGATCACCCCTTAAACTCAAAATTCTAGAGAAAATAGGCCTAATTTCTATCAACACTCCTCATAACTTAACCCCTAAGATCGAGGTATCATTCTTGTAAACCTACATTGTATTTCTTCCAAGGCCAATATATCCTTCTTAGGTGAGGTGTCTAGATCTGCTCACAGTCCTTCAAGTGAGGTCGAACCAGGGATTCGTATAACTGCAACATAACTTCTGTGTCCTTGTACACTAGTCCTCTAGCTATTAGGGCCAGCATTTCTTTAGCTTTCTTAATTAGAAATTGAACCTGCGCTGTTGGTGTTACTCTGCAAAGCTCACACAGCATGAGTACCAGGGAGACACACTGCCAAGGTGTGCAGCAGATAATGTGGACTGTGAAAGATTCTGCTGCTGCTATTAGGAACTGATTCTCCCAATTCACAATATTCTGAAGCATTCTGAGCCCAAATACAAACAGAAACCTTCTGATATATAATTCCATAGAAATGTTGAGAAATGTTGAGAAATAAATGAGCTTCTGAACCTCAGCACCCTGGGCATTGACTATTTGCAAGTGACTGCGAATCAATTCCTGTGTTGATTTATACATCTGCTTCCCCAGGAAAGCTCATCCTTTTGGTTTCTCTTCCAACAAGTAGATAAGAAAAAGACAAGAATCCCCAGGGAAAAACTATTTCCAAGCTTTTCACTTTAATGGAAATTCCCAAGCAAGAATGATTTGTGACTGTGACTTCCAAATGAGGCTAGTGACATTCAAAGATTCAAAAAAGCAAGACAACCAATTGTAAATAACTTTCAGTCTCCTGGAGCCATGAAACTCTGCATGGTATGTTTAATATTGATTTTCCTCAGCTTCTTTTCTTAACAACAAAACTTAATTTGGTAGAAGTTGGGTTATAGAAACAAAGATATGAGTGGAAAGTGTTTGGTGGAGAATTAGATTCAATTTGATTTTGAGGTTTACATTTCTCCCTGACTGACACAACCATGGATTTCCTTTTCTTTGCTGGGATTGCTGAGCACTGTATGCAAATGGTCCTGGAGAAATGGAACTTGGATTTTTCAATCCACTGAAGATTCAGCTCAGGTTCGTTTATGTTCCAAATGCTTCCCAGAACCATCAAATGGAAGTTGGCACCAGGTGCTAGAAAATAGCAGAACAAGATGGAGGGTTGCCCCAATTGAAATCATCAACTTTTCCTCCCTTCAAACTGGAGGAGGGAGGATAGAAATGTCAGAGATGGGTGAGTGGCGGACGACAGTAGAGAAGAAGGTGAGTAGGCAGGAAAGCAAAGGAAGCATACAAAGCTGGAGGAGATTCATAGCGACATACAGGTGACTAACGTCCAGGGCGCAGAGATTCAAATGGTCAGTCATTCCTCAATATCTCCAAGGAATTTTACACCTGGAGGCTTATGTCATTGTTTGGACTCATGATGTTGTGAATTAGGGGTGCAGTCATAGAGTGATAGAGTCATACAGAATGGAAACAAACCCTTTGGTCCAACTCGTCCATACTGACCAAGTTTCCCAAACTAAACCAGTCCCATTTGCTTGCAGTTGGCCCATATCCCTCGAAACCTTTTCTATCTATGTAACTATCCCAATGTCTTTTAAATGTTGTTAGTGTACCTGCATCTACCACTTCCTCTGGCTGTTCATTTCACATATGAACCACCCTCTGTGTGAAAAAGCTGCCCTTCAGGTCCCTTTTAAATCTTTCTCCTTTCACCTTAAAAATATGCCCCCTAATTTTGATCTCCCCCACCCTGGGGAAAAGACATTTGCTATTCACCTTATCTATGCTCCTCATGATTTTATAAACCCCAATAAGGTCACCCCTTAACCTCCTACACTCCTGTGAAAAAA